GAGAGTGTGAAAGTGAGGTGTGTTTATTGTGCTACTTGAGTTTATGACTATCTAGCACATTGGGCTCCTCTCTGGGCCAGGCCACACCTTGTACAGCGCTCCTTGCCTCTCATGTTTCTTGAAATATCATTGATATATTGCCCGTGATGAATAGCCATTCAGCTCAGTATTTACCAGTGGAATTCAGCCACCTTTTCCACGGAACCTTCTATCCAAAAAAAATAAAAATGGTAACAATGGAGACTGCGTGCGCGGGAAAAAGTCTCAAAAACGTGCAGCCCCAGCCAGGCGAGGCCTAGACACCGGGACCACATGAGGTGCGCATACTCATCTACATCTCCCTTCTTTGTAACAGTCGAGGTCGACTTGATTCAGTCCACCATCTCCGTATGGGGTGCTGGGTACGCTCCGGAAACTCATCGGATGGCTTTTACTCCATGATCAAGGGTTAGAGATGAGTAGGGCTCCAACCCTACCATCTGATCTGATTGTGATTAGCTTCATGATAATGGTGATAGGGGAATGTGTTGAGAGATGAAGACGATACAGACCGCGAAAGCGATTGGGAATCCTCGTCGAAGTGAGGATTTTGTTACTCAATCTCGGCTCCACAGACTCTACAGTGAGAGCTGGAGGTTCATAGGGGACACCACTGGCAGGTGTTGAGAATTGTCCCACGAGAAGACTCAGTGATTCTATCACATGACTTTATTTTTGCAAGCTCATATTAATTCATGACTCAAATGTGAGTCGTGCTAATTATCAGGAGCTTAAGGATCATATAATGTCGATACGCATTATATGAGTACATGAGTACATCCGACAATCAATGGGCATGACTGTAGAGCAAGTTGGACATGTATATAACCAGGTGCATTTTCTTCTGATGTAGACCATGCGTTCATCTTTAGATATCCATTTTATCTTCAGATAGTCTAAATACATTCGCTCACCATCAGACTATTCATTCGACATTCTCCCTTATACATATACCGTCCTACTACCAAACTTATCCACCTAACATCGTAATTGAGACAGAATTGTCACGGTAAAGGAAGATAGTTCGACGAGGTCAAATCTGGTGGAATAGATTGCCTACGAAGGGTAGACGAAACTCTTGCTGAGTTCCGTTAAGCTATATATAGAATGAATGACAGGTTAACGTCATAAAGTTACGTGACACGGATCTACATCTCATTCCTTAGCAAGAATGACCCTTACTGTCTATGAGAAAACAGTTCAAATTAATTAAAAAAAATAAAACAACGTAACTAGACCCCATCATATAGATTCTGTTAGTCACTCATAGTATTATACTCAGATAGGACTGTTGAATTCATCTAATCTTATATCTGCCGCTCTATCATGGAGTAAAAGCGTGATATCACGCGGTGTTGGCGTTGCACGGACCTTACATGGATGGATATATACGTTGGTTTAGGTTTGACTAAAGGAGTAATAAATCTGATAAATACCCATGTGGAATCTAAAGGTAGCAGGCTACCTAATATAATGTATACTATTGGAGTGCGAAGGCTGAACACCTGTCAGTGGTGCCCTCTACGAACCTGGGAGTGAAATATTCTGCCAGAGCCGAGAATCAGTCACGAAAAAGGGTGGGATGAATTTTATTTGATGGACTGTCGACTTGAAGGAGTTGCACTCGATATTTTGGTCGAAAAATCAGTCGGCAAAGATTTCACAGCCAGAACAAAGTCGAACAAAAACTCATCACCACCAACATACGATTCACGAATGGGCCCAGGTCTGTTTGAGGGTCGTATTCCAACATCTGACATCTCTCAAACTCCTCAAATATTTGCGACGAAGCATTTCTCAGTCAATCCTATACCTACGACCCACTTCCATACTCGTCCAATCACCTACCCACACACGCCCTAATGAGGAAAGTCATGATGGAAATGGGACGTGTACAAAGGAGGAAGAAGAGGGAAGATACACCGAGAGCATTAAACAAATCCCCAATGACGAAAACAACCAAATGGTACGATAAGAAGGTGCAAGGCTAGAGCCAAGATGAGATCTTGGACGGCATTTATATTTCGGAGTCAATGAGGATGTCAAGGGCTCGGGCGCGTGGTGGTTGAGGCTGAGGAGGAAATTGCGCTACGGCGTGTTTACAGCGGGTTTCTGGACGGTCAGGCTTGGTATGATTCAACACATAGGTGAAGTCTGAGGTGGTCCGGTCATTGAAGTGAGATGAGGTATATCTGTACTTCGCGGTAGTTAACCTGGTCTGGCCCGACTCTATTCGTGCTTAAGCTCCAATAGGAGTGCAACGGTACTCCCTTAAACTGGCACGTTAATGAACAAAAAAAAATATGTAGAGTACTAAATGCGGTTAGCTAGCGACTAATAAGCTACGTACAAAGCATAGATTTCGGACTTGAGAGTTGGGATAGACATAGTTTGAAGACTCAAGCTTGGCTTTTGCATTCTGCGGAATTAGCTGTGGTAGAGCCACGAGCCATATTGTCATTGCACTGTTTCAAATGTGATCGATCAGAACACACAAAAGGCCTAAGCCCGATCTTTCGAAGCTGTGATAAACAATCCAGGGGATATCAAAAAGCTTACTCAGTGAATTCTAGATAATGGTTGGACAGAGCAATTTTCAATGGTGAAAACGGCCCAAACATGGCTGAAGGAAAGGTGAGCGTGCTCAAAACTCGGCGCTAAGCTAAGATAATTTGATGGCAGAAAATATAACTATTGTGTGACTGCGCTTCCTTGGGGATGATTATAACAGTTCTAATGTATAAAGCTTGGGCGTTTTGTATGTCGAAAGGTAATTTATTTACCAACTGGAGCACGAAACTACCGATACATCCAACGCCTCATTTATACACATTTCCTGCTACCCTGAAGACTAGTAGCTATCCTTTAGTCGAGCCCCTATTATCAAGGTGTGGCCTAGTTACCAATAATGCATCGTGCATGGGCAGTGTCAGACTCTGATTAGTAGTGGAACTGTCAAAGATCAACCGTTGAAAGCAGAGAGCCCATATGGATGATGGTATTTTATAATCCAACCATAGAGAGCTAAGTTCTACATACTAAGCCGGGTATATATACAGATTCATCACATTCTGAGTTCTTCGTTCTTCGCTCCTAGGTCACCTCCGTCAAACTCGAGGGTGGCAAAAGTAGCGTTGGGAGGGTGATTGAGAGACTTGAGAAAAATCTGACGAGGTTGGCAAGAGTCTCAGGTATGAATTCGGAATTCAAACTAAAACTAGGTACGAGGGACGAGGGAAACTAGGACTGGAGAGAAGGCCAGTGGAATACGGAAGACGGGACGTAGCCCTCCACAGCGGCTCTGTCCAATCTATCTATACACCATAGCTGGGCTGGATGGTGCAGTGGTACATCATTCGGGCCACTCTCCCAAGCAGATACTGGGTAGCTTGAACAACTACCCCATTTGAGACAGGAGAAAGCTGGTTCGAATCCAGTCAGACCCACACACCACTCTCTCTCGCGGTGATATTGTACTTGTGGGATGATGAAAGCACGCTCGGATAGCCATAGGTTTTTAACGCTTTTCCCTGTGGTGGGTATGCACGGAAGAGGTTATGCGCTGGAAGGGTTAACCTCGAGTGGTATCTGCAAATGAAGTCTGAGTACGGGTGTTCTTAGCGTCAAATTGAGTCATCCTACTAAAAGTATATATATCTTCCCATAAAACCTGCATGCGCCTCTAGGCGCCAAATCAGGACAATTGAATTATTTATTTTAGTTTATACATCACAGCAACCAGAGCAGCTAAGGCCTCATAGGGTACGCCTTCAACTACTCTATTACTCCATCCGTAACCAATGGCAACCATTGTAAGCCAGTAACCATTTTAAAGTGACTAAATATTCGCAGACGGTGCAGGGAAAGAATACGGGGGTGCTACGCTATCCTCAGTCCTTGGAAAGCTCACTTCTAGATGATTCCGGTTGCTACTCCAAGGGTATCATTTATAGCAGCTTCCCCGAGGTTCAGTCTAGTCTTACTCATACGAGGACTCTTCTAGTTCCTTATCCAGAGGTTCTAGTATCTCCTGCAGGGCTTTGTAGCCATTACAGGGATTCAGCCCTGGCGTTTCATTATGCCTGTGCTGAATAGCACAGGCTGCAGGTACCCTATCGGCTTACTATACGTAACAATGGTAACAAAGCTGAAAGAAAACAAACAGATGCAGATGGGTATTTACACCGAAAAGTTTTCCCCATTGTTAGTATGTAGGTTTTACACACCCTTCGGGCCCTGATTGTGCCAAATCTAGCAAAAAAACTAAAAGCAACCCAAATTATATTTCATATTTCAACTCCCAGTTTAGGGCAGCTGAGTGCCTCAAGCCTGTAAGATTGTAGTCTCCAGCTTACTTCACTAAGCTGGACTAGCATTATACGAACACAAGTTAAGTGTTATTGCTATCGGACAAAGAAAAGTAAGAAATTTAGACCTATGCGCTCTTTAAGCACTGTATAGACTATTCTCACAAATAGTTAAATCCTCCCCTAAAAAATTGGAGAGTGTGTAACATTGTCTTCAATTTTGCTCTTCTTTTTATCTCGATTCATGATTTGAGCATTCGAAATGATATAAATAACATACCATAGAAACCCGAGAATGAAAGAAAAGTAACTTTATCACTAAAGAAATCATTTCTCTATAATTGTCATGCCACTAATACATGTCGTCGGGTTAGCCACTCTCTCCTTGTTTAATCAAATTTCTTCACAGTTTCTATACTGTTACCTCAAATCCTCTGACGAACATAGCTAGATTTATTGTCAATGACATCTAAATAGCTACTAATGGATATATCTATTACATAGATCTGTATTTAAGTGCTATGAGATTTTTTTGTGGAGGAAATTCTGATTTCCGTCGATAGCATGCTCCTCTAATTTTCTCTTCCACTCTTTGGATTTATTCGTGCTCCTTGACTGAATATTCACGAAGCAAAATTTGCACCACTTTAGTCCTCACTGGGGAGAAGTAAGCCTTCCAAGTTCAATATTTTTTCTCCGTTCTGTAGGCATCTTATCTATTTTATTCTTGCCTTCTGCATTAATTGGTATGGTGTGCTCTCTGCTAGATTTTATTGCTTCCTTAAATAAGAGTTCTGTCCCTTCAGCATCATTAACTCCCCTCTCAATGGCGGGGGGTATATCATTATTCAAATCTATATGTCTTTTTAAGATTCCAAATCGTTCGTCAAGATGAGACTTAAGTTTTAGCTCTCTAAATTTATTTCTTTTTTTACTCTGTACCTTATTATCTTCTTTTGAGGCCTGAATTTTTGTGAGATCAGACAAAAGTTTATTTCGCATTGAAAGTAGCTCGAATGCTGATCGGGGATACATTGCTGCTAGTGTGGCCAGCATATTGTTTACGAATTCTTCTATTATTCTTCCATCAGGACCAGAGATATATCCTTCGGCCCTGAATTGTTCTTTATAGAGACTTGCTTCTGGGGAAAAAGATGCTGCTAGCAATGAAGAAAATTTAGTTTGTTGACTCTGCAAACTTGCATCCCCAGAAGTTTTAGGGCTGATGGGTGCAGTGGGTGACCAGAATCCAGTTTGTGAATTTTGCCTTTTGTATTCTTCAAAGTTTTCATGAACAGTAGATGTAGTTATGTTTGAACATCGTGACTGTGAACTTGTTGAATACACTGGTTTGATTTGATTTAGTGGTGTTTGAAAATTATTATCTCTACATTTAATCATTTGTCTTTCTTTTGTGATGTGGCTAACTGGTGTTACAGGGCCAACGGACGCAATTGCCGCAAGCTGATTCTTGATAACTGGAGTCTCATGGGTATTTGAAGAGCCCAACTTAGAGAACTTGAACCGCGAAATACGCTGTATTATGATAAAGTCATTCTTCATCTTCGGCATGTGAAACCCCCAATTAGTCTTTGATTTAGATGACGAAATATCAGTTGCTGGAGTCTTTTCTTTCTCTCTGGAAGTTGATTTTATAGCCGACCGCGTTATCACGCCCTGAGAATGGATAATGGGTACGTAGGTTGCCATTTATTCCGCTGAATAAAATTATTAATTCGAATTTGATTAGAAATCAATTATTATCTTTACTTTAATTTTTGAGAAAGGTGTTAAATGGGTCGGTTGGCTTAGTTTGAGGTAATTGCTTCAGTCTAATGTTAAATAAGTACCATTGTATCCAAGTAGATATGGAATCCACACACATGGCTATTATTTAATGTTTCAGTGGATATCGATTTGCATCTCATCAATGTGAGTTAGGGATGATAAACCGTCCTCGGGGAATATAAATAAGTGGGAATTGGAGAGTGTTGAATATGGGCACGTTTGTTATCTATATGCGGATATCAACGAGCTCACTGTCCATTGGAATCCATCAAGGTTCTATTCTCCCTTTGCTAATATCTATTTCCCACTCAGGTTTTATTATTTTCAGCCTAGCTCCATTTCTGGCGAAAAATATGATGATGGATAGCCAGAAGCGAGAGCACCAAACAGATTGAAGAAAGATGGTATAAACTTTAACTTGGTAAATCTTTGAAATTTTTGAAAGTGATCTCTTAATTTCTAGCCAAAAATTCAAATAAAAATTATAATCTTTCAAGATAAAAAGATATCCAACTGCTCTCTGGCATATATATTTGTTACAACGATTCTTACTTCAGACTTTTATAGACAATAACCGTAAGGTATCATTCGTAATGAAATTCTAGAAGACTAATATATTATCTCCTGAACAAGCGCTCAGACTTTCATTATTCTAGGCCTAGGGGAATTAGATCGCATATTATCTTAAAAGCAAATTTGCACATACGCTACTTCAGACTTTCACCTTCCCAGGATGATTAGGTTTTTGCCTAGGAGTCATATGATAACAGTCTTTCCATTTTAAAAAGGGGACGAAAACTCAACCTCTCTGGTAGTATTCCGTATGAGTCCCCAGATCCCACTTTAGAGTCTGTACATTCGAGTTTGAGTAATACCTTCGGCCTCATTTGGTAAAGGGTTGCAAATCGCTTCCTCCGTCTATATCGTCTTTTTATCTTGGCACAAATCTCTAGCAACGTCATCATGCAAGAAAAGTCATCCGATGAGTTTCTGGGGCGTACCCAGCACCAGATTCGGCAATTTTGGATTGGATCAAGTTGGCCTCTTATGTTAAAAAAATAAGATATTGAGGAATGTGCGCACAGCATGTGGTCCCGATTTCTAGACCTCGCCGGCTAGGGCTGCAGTTTTTTTGAATAGAGAGCTAAATAAAAAAGATGACTGAATTCTACGGATAAATACTGAGCTAAACGGCCATTTATCATGGGCGATTTGTCAGTGATACCTTTTTGCAGCTTACGGTGAAAAGAGCAATGTACAAGGTGTGGCCTAGGTCAGAGAGGGGCCCAATATACTAGATGGTCTATGATATAAGCACTACAAGAAACAGATACACTAATTCATGACTTTCTAGCCAGATATAATCTAACACCAATCTAGTGAATTATCCAAGTCTAGTTACAGAGAAGGGTTGTTCCACAGAATTGGGTGAATATTATGCCCTACAGCTCAATGCAGGCATGGACAATTAATTTACAATCACTAGTCTCATTATGCGAATTGGATTAAACGGTAAGTTGTGGGTCCCTGTGTCCCGTGACTTAGGGTCGCCCACATTCTTGGACATAACACTTGTAGCTAGAAGAAGGGAATAGAAGAAATAATATACTTTATTAAAAGTTTTACTTCTAGCAACAGTTGTAAGCAGTTGCTATACGACTCATTTTATATTAGATACGAGACTTGAAGCCACAAAGTTCCAAGATTTAATGTTGAGCTAGTGAAGAGCATGAGGATAAGCCACACATGGAAATTTAAGTCATCATCGAACTATCTAATACTATGAAGGGCCGGCAAAGACGAATTCTTCACCTTCCAGTGGTGCCGGTGTAATCGCTCAATATGCTCTACATATCTGAGATAGCCAAAAAGAATTGCATTCGAATCGAAGTCGAAAGCAACTTCAAGCATATCTCCATTTGAAGAATTCTCGACAATGTCTCTCTTATCATTCTTATCTGAGTCCTCAACCTCTTTCTAAACGCCCATCATCTTGCCTCAACGACCGATAAAGACGTCACCCTAATTGCAAACAGGAGCTTGCTTCATTCATTACCGGCCATCACTCACTACATATTTACGACGCTATTAATATCCGCAAGGAGGAAATCAAGTCGAAAAATACAAAGCCTGGGTCATGGCTTATGGGGACTGTTGCTCTAATGGGACAGACAACTTGAGAAAGAACAGGCCGCTGAGATGTGGAGCGAGAGGGGAAAGAGGTCTCTGATGACCATGCTGGGACCGATATTTTCGAGGGGTTTTCAACTTCGGATTTTTTGTGGGCACCAGGACCAAGATTTCGACTAATTAGCCAGGAGGGCTTCAATTGTTGATGAGTCAACGGCAATCCCCAGCGCCCTGGAAGGCACAAAGAAAGTTAGGCTAAGCTACCATACAGCAATTACGCTCTGTCAAGACTTTTCTGACATCTTAGCAAGACTTTCGGGAAGGAGGCAAGAAAGGCAGAGTGTAAATTCTCCGAGATACCCACAAGTCTACAACGCCCAACTGGCCGGTCTCTTCTAACGCTTCAGAAGGGTCACTATGTCTTCGGATCTAGTCCTAATATCGGTACTAGGAGAGCCCCGGACCCAGTGGTTTTGCAATTTTTCCCGACAGCCATAAACCTGCAAATGGCCATCATTTCGTTGGCTGGAAAGGGGAGACGTTGAAGGGCAAAGGGCTCCTCTAAGTGTATGATCGAATGAGGACTTGTGAGGGGTGATGCTATTTGAGGGGAGCTGTATGTATGTATGTATGTATGCATGTGTGTGTTTGTTTATTGTACTACTTGAGTCTATGACTATCTAGCACATTGGGCTCCTCTCTGGGCCAGGCCACACCTTGTACAGTGCTCCTTGCCTCTCATGTTTCTTGAAATATCATTGATATATTGCCCGCGATGAATAGCCATTCAGCTCAGTATTTACCAGTGGAATTTGGCCACTTTTTCCACGGAACCTTCTACTCAAAAAAAATAAAAATGGTAACAATGGAGACTGCGTGCGCGGGAAAAAGTCTCAAAAAACGTGCAGCCCCAGCCAGGCGAAGCCTAGACACCGGGACCACATGAGGTGCGCATATTCATTTACATCTCCTTTCTTTGTAACAGTCGAGGTCGACTTGATTCAGTCCACCATCTCCGTATGGGATGCTGGGTACGCTCCGGAAACTCATCGGATGGCTTTTACTCCATGATCAAGGGTTGGTGATGAGTAGGGCTCCAACCCTACCATCTGATCTGATTGTGATTAGCTTCATGATAATGGTGATAGGGGAATGTGTTGAGAGATGAAGACGATACAGACCGCGAAAGCGATTGGGAATCCTCGTCGAAGTGAGGATTTTGTTACTCAATCTCGGCTCCACAGACTCTACAGTAAGAGCTGGAGGTTCATAGGGGACACCACTGACAGGTGTTGATAATAGTCCCCCTGGAATTGGACAAACTTCTGCCATCCCTTCTCCCCAATCATCTCCTTGGCTCCAGGCGGGGCTGTTTTCTCACAGCTCCTCCAACGTTGCAAGGCAGATCGACACTCTGGAAAATGCCAGGGCCTTTTCTCTCGGCCGCAAACGCATTTCAGATCTTCAAGTTCGGGGTTGAAACGTCGATGGTAGTCGTCGTAGTCCCCGTGGCACGCCCATCTTTGTAGAGCCAGTTCCGCTGGCTGCTTACAGCGCATGAAGAGGTCTAGGTCTTTATATCGTTCCGGCCCAAACTTCTGCCACCACTCTTCCACGAGTTCTTGACCTCGCATTTTTACTAGTCTCTCTAGTGCCGCAAAGGTTGGATTTTGAGATTCTCCACTGAGCAAAGCTGTGGTTAGTGACCAGTTGTTTAGAGATCTCAAGGCTGATTTGGCCAGCTTATCAGCCTCTTCATTGCCTTGGATCCCCACATGACCAGGTATCCAGCGTATTTCCACACGCTTGTTTTATCTCAGCAGTGAAAACTTGTCCACCACTGCCTGCAAGGAACTAGATCTTCCTCTTTCGAGCGCCCGAGCAGCCGTCTGATTATCCAAAAGAATGCAAATCGGTGGGTCTTCTCCCACTGTTAGTGCAGGCTCCAAGGCTTTCGTGGCGCCTACAACCTCCGCGTCGAATACCTCTGCTCCAGGAAGTGGACCGGAACCACTCCCAGCTAGCTTGCCTCTTTGGTATACTACATATCCCCAGGCTAATTTCTAGGGCCCGACGAAGATCCGTCAGAGAAGGCATAGATTGTCTCGGTTGGCAGAGAAGCTTACCAGCGTTTCATGCTTCCTGACCTAGCTTCTTTTTCTTATTGGCTTTAAGCTTGATGTCAACTTTCTATATTGGTCTCTTATCATAGACACGGTAATGGATTCATGAGATTGCTCAACGAGGGGCTAGGATTGATTCCGATATTATTTTGTAGAAGACTTGTGCCAACTTTCAGAGGACTACGTCTTTATCTATCTTCACGTTAATTTCCCATTTTCCATCCACGCTAACCATACAGGACCCTGTATATAAAACTTGATTCGTATCATTGTTTTGGGATTGAGGTTTAACGTGCATGTTGTTGAGTAACATGCCAACTTACTCTGAGACACGCTCAGGTGTCAACCTAAGAACCCACACCAAACCGAAACTGCTCACAACCCTGATTATGACCCCATGAATAGTTGGAACAGTAGCCTGCAACCTAGCACAATTAGACTAGACATCGTTGACTAGGACCTAATCCGAACAGTATTACATGAACACCAACATTTACAATAAACCTTTCAAATCGTGGATTTTCACAAACAGGAGTCGTGCCTGTTTGGAACTAGACGTTGGAAACCTAGTAGTAATGTTGTATTGGCCTACTTGTGATAGGAGACCGACGTATACTTGGCCACTAAAAATGTCGGGGCGCCACGATAATCAGTGTTCAAATAACAATTTTATATTAGTTTAGATTTATTCGAATATGAGTCATTTCACAAGCAGCACTCTCCAAGATGCATCTAAGAAGGCTCATCATATGCGGGATGCATGAATGATAATCCCTACAGTTAGCTAGTCCCATATCTCTACACTTGTCGTACTTGCGCAGATAGTACAAGCTCAAGGAATCAAACCCGTATCAATATGAATTGACATCATGTAATACCTTTGTATGGGTCGTAGAAAAAGGTCAGAATAGCCTCACCCTTGTTCAGACTTAGCTTGTCATCTTCATATCTGGAGAAATGAGTTTCAAACGTTACAAAGTGCAAACCATTCATTTTAGGCTAGATTGGTATGATCACTCTCTTTTTTTGTATTGTTATGTATATTTAGCCTCTACAGAAGTATGGTAAGAGTAAGGCCGGGCTGAGTCAGGTTGAAATGCCAGAACCCATCCGTTCTTAATGACCAGAGCCGTGCCAGATAACATTTATGGGATGGGCAAGATGTGGCTAGCCGCCCAGAGAAACGGCGAAAAACAAAAAAATTTTCCCGTGCCTAGACGCTTCATTTAACAAAACTTTGTACAAACTTATTCACCACGCGCCCAAGCCTTGGAATATTTCTCCTGGTCTGTGGCTTTTAATCCTACATCGGCCTCTCCCTATGCAGCTATCAGATTTATCCCGGCCATGCTAGGTACAATATTCTGATAGATTCCGCTGTTTATCACATACTCTTTGAATGTTTGCCATCCTTGTCGCCCAGCATCATCTTGAGAGCTGGTGCTTTCTGTCGACCAATTCTGTCGCACCATACGGCTAGTGTCTTTCGGCGCTCAACTAGGTGGCCAACTGAGGTTTCTCTGCCGCATTTGCAGTGGATGGTGGTGTCCTCGTGCTGCCAGCGGCGATGGTAAGCTACATAGTCGCCACTCCCTGTACGAGCAGCGATGAGACGTGCGTAGACTGCTCTTGGTAGAGCAAGTTCTGGCGGCTTTTTGCGCCATATGCAAAGTTCTAGATCGGTATATCCTGCAGGGTTGGCTACCGACCACCATTTCTCGACCAGTTAGGTTGCTAGAGCGCGGGATTCACGGCGACTTGTGGATAGCGTTAGAGTTCCAGGCGGGGTCGTGCTATCGGTGTCTGATTCAAGCGCGTCGCGAGCTAGTTGGTCCGCTGCTTCGTTACCATATATACTTTTGTGGCCAGAAATCTGATCTCCCTTTTTGATATCTTGATGGCTTTCTTTTTCTAGCCTTCAATTTTTCTCATTTCCTTCACAGAAGTATCTTTTAACTAATAGCTCAAACAGCATTCTGAAGTTTCTTTTTCGAAGGCAACCGGTATGAACAATCAGGATTCTAAATTCCTTAAAGATAGTCGTAGACTAATAGCATGGCTTATCAAAATCAGCAGTTTTTCCAATGCAACATTTTTAAATCTCTATACTTCGCAAATAATGTCGTGCGTTTCTTGTAAGTCCCGACATTCAAAGTAACAGTTAGTTTAGGTCTAGAAGCTTCTAAAAGTTGAGATTTCATTTAGATATAGCCAATTTGGGTAGATAGTGAGGGAGTAGACGGGTAATTCTTGAGGAATTGTAGCGCGGAGGTCTAGTCTCAGTTAAAATAGGCTCTATGGTGACCAGATCAGAGTAATCTCTAGTCGGAGTAAAGTCTTTGCTGCCTTATTTTACGTCTAATATACTTTCGCTAATAAATTTATATTACCTCGCCGTTCCATATAGTAAACTTTGATTAGCGAGAAATCATTTGATTCAAATCGCTCGGGAATCTACTGTTTGTGATCACAGCCATTATACAGCCAATCACTTGCCCCTAAAATCCCCCCATCACTACAGTTAGAATCAATAGACCACTGCCTCAGAGAGCTGGCACATAGCTGGGTTGTCCATCCCGCCTCAAACATTTCCATGCCGGTCCAGGCGATCATAGCTGCGTTATCTGTACACAAGTTTGATGGCGGGATGACAAGCTGAATATGCTGGAATGACCGTGCGTTTAAGAGTCTCCGCAAAACTGTATGTAAGAATTGATTGCTTGCAACGCCACCTGAAACTACGAGAGCCGAAATGCCACAAAGTGCCTGTTGATCTAGAGAAAATAGAATTCTTGAGGCAAGATGTTCAAAAGCTACTGTCATGAGTATCTGAGCCAGACAGCGCCGTTCTGCAATGGACATATTCGGGTTTTGAGCCATAGTGCTTCTCGCCTTGCTACCCATTCCCGAAAAGCTAAACGAGTCCGCATACTTTAAGGGTCCTTCTGGTCCAGGCGAAATATAAGGAGGAGTGATTTTCCAGTTATAGCCATGATGTTCCCCACTGCGAGCTTTTATCGATGTCTTGGGCGGCACGTACTCGTATCTGGGTGACAAGCAAGGGAATGCAAATTCCTCAAGAAGACGGCCATACATCACGTCACTTGAAGACGAGATTTGTGATGTGGGCAGAATGACCCGCGCAGATTTGTCAAGCATATCGCCAATAGATAAGTCCGTAGTGTTAGCGATAATTTTGTGTTCCCAAGGCGAGCGAGTATGTACTAGCATGGTGTGGCCCCCAGAGACTAGCAGAGTGAGAAATGGAAATGCGGGAGTGAGTTGAACGGCTTCATCAGTGCCCGACAGGAACGTGTTGAGGGCAGAAACGAGATGTGGTGTCAACGCATGGGCCTGCATATGGTTCACGCCGAGCAGGGGCACTTGCCAGGCAACTGAGAGTCCCTTGGCCGTATCCAGTCCAGTTATCAAGCTCGCCCGCATACCAGGGCCGCGTGTGACAGTTACAAAGTCTGGTTTTTTCAGCAGCCGTGTTCCATAGATAGCAGCGCGACCAGCGCATTTGTCTACTGCGCTAGCTAACGGAAGACTTTCAATCGCTTGTTGCACTAGCCGGGCAAGGTTGAATTGATGCGACTCATGCGCCGCTATAGGATGTACGCCACGAAAGCACCGATTGTCGGATGTGATTTTTGTGTGAAAGTGTAATTGAACCGAGCGATTCGCGTGCTTCTCGAGCACAGCGACACTTGTATCGTCGCATGAAGTCTCAATTGCTACAGTTATAAGGTTGCGCCATTTGAACGATTTTGGTGGCAATCTAGGCCGTGTAAATAGGGAAAATTGCTTCATCCGGTGGTCACAACGAGTAATGGTGACTAATTTACAGTGATACTCGAAATTTTGGTAGTCGTTAGTAATCCCCTTGTCGAAGCTTGGTATGGCTCAATATTTAGTTATTTATTTTGGTTTGATTTGATTTGATTTCATTTAACCCGATTAGGCACCCTATGGGCCCGTGCAGGTGTCTATCATACTTTATTGTTCCTATGGGGGATACCTTTTGGTGAAAAGGCCCCCAAACTCTCCTGCATATTGTCTATTTACTTTCTAATTTATCCTTTGGGAAGTGCAGTTACACTGTATTGCCCTCCATGTTAACAAATCACATCAGCTTTATCGACGTCAAGAAAGGCATGACCTTGTCCTTTCCCTCAGCAGCATTTCGACCGTCTTTGTCCTCAGGAATTGCACTATCCAACTATTAATTAGGATCCACTGTATTGTTCTTTTGATATCGCCAAGATTATGTATCAAAGCTTCGTAGGACCGATCTTTATCTTTTCTCTAGATCTCTCCTCTACCATTTGACCATTGAGGGTGTGACATAATCATATGCTTGGGGTTCTGCGATGGGTAGCCACAGGGTCAGTTTGGACTGATGGCTCCGATTACTTTTCTTCTGTAATAATACGAATTGAGCACCATGTGCACATTTAGTATTTACATCGCTTGACTACTTTGAGCCCTTTTCATATTTTTAAATATTTATTTATTGATGTTAAACTTAGAGAAGGCTTCGTGTGAAAATCACATGAATCGTCAAAAGATAAGGGCGAATATGGGGAGGAATTATGGAGTTCTTCGTACTACGGGTCCATCGAAGCATTACAATGTCTACTCCTGGATGGCAAGACTTAACACCTGTACGCGGTGTCCTCTACGAACCTGGGAGTGAAATATTCTCCCAGAGCCAAGTTCAGTCAAATTTCGCAATATCAAAGAAGTTGGTCCACGAGGCAAAAATCCAAATTACTCCACCACGTCGTTTTTTTGCTCCCAACGAGTCTGACTCCTACCTGAGTCTCATCAAGCCTACAAGTACGACCGATTACATCCTCATCCAAATGGCCACACCACTCTTCGACCTTCTCTGGCCTCAGTTGACCACCAATTATACGCCCACGCCGATATTTATACCCAACGGAGGAAGCAAAGCGTGGCGCACAAATCTGGGAGACACCTCTTCGGGATATATGTGAGAGAGATCAGGACAAGCTTACAAGATTATACAGAAGAAGGATACAATCTCGAAGGGAGTGTGATTCCGAATTTTGGCAAGGAGTTTTACGAATTAGGCTCTGTGTGCGCCAAGACTTCGCTTGCGAGAGTGCAGTTGACACTATAAAAACAAGCAAGCGATGGAAGGTGTTGTGGTCCGCCTCCTGGTGGTGTTCTCCGGTATAGTCTGAGTAGCCTGGGCACCTACTCCATTTGGAAGGAAACGCCTAAGATTATATTTCGCGCGGAGAAAAGTTGAAAGATGGTGGAGGCACATCTGGATAACTCAGGGTTTTTGAGACGTTCCCCTGGGTGGGTATTCACGGATGAGGGTTGACTTGGGGTGAAGAAAAAGCCACCATGAGTTCGCAGTGGTACTTGCAAATGAAATCTGAGGCATGAGTCCTCTTCCTTTACGTTGAATCATCTATTCTGTACTTTTCTTTGATATTGTGTCATAGCTAGATAGCTGCGTACGCAATTAAAATCTGATGCAAAAGAAAAAAGTCTACTCCTACCCTTAGTCAGGCCCCTGAGCATCGTCACTAGCCTGAGATGCCTGCACGCAGATCATTCTTTCGCTTTTGGACTAGATTCAGGCTTATGCAGGCATAGGTCTGCTCACATAACAAACAGTGGATAGAATAGAGCGCAAACTCAGCCATAAACACCAAATCGAAATCTACATCTTCCAGTGGTGCCGTTGTAATCGCTTAGTATGCTCTGCATATCTGGGATAGCCAAGAAGAATCGCATTCGAATCGAAGTCGAAAGTAATCACAAGCAAATCTAAAGTTGGCGACTTCTCGTCAATGTCGGATCTCTCATTCTCGCGCGAGTCCTCCACCTCAATCTTACTACACCACCTCGCCTCAAATACCGATAATGGCGTTACTCCATTTGCAATCAGACATTTGCCTCATTAGAAACCGGCCATCTCCCACTACAGAATTACGATGCTGTATATACCTGCGAGGAAGAGATGAAGTCAATCTAAAAAGCTTGAGTCTTGGTCTATGGGGGACTGTTGCTCTAACGGGGCTTCATATGATAGAAACCGGGTTGGTGATGAATAAATCGTTTTAATAAGCTATATGATGAGAGGAGCCAGCTCTAGCCACTACTAACAGGTATTTATAGGAGTTAATCCTCCTCGTGAATCTACAGACTAGTGACTTGTCCTTAGGCACAAAACTTCTTACCCAGCCACGTATTTCCAGGTGTCACTAAGTTGTAATGACGCTTCAGCCTCCTGAGTAGTAGTGCCGTTTCGTTCAGCTTCATCGTAAGAATTCTTAGTATCAGGCTTAGGTATCCACCTAAGCTCAAACAACGGTCAAACCGTAACACATATCTTGAGGGAGGATAGGCAGCTGGGACGCACATTTTTCGAGTTTTTTCGACTCTAGGGTGTCTATGGGCGCACAGGCAACGATTTCGGATAGTGAAACCGACACTCTAAAAACAGGCAACGATGGAAGGTGTTTTGGTCCGCATCCTGGTCGTCATCTCCCCGAATTAAAGTCTGGGTAGCCTGGACACCTACCTCACTCGAGAAAGACAGGACTGTGAGGCCATATCTCGCGCGGCGGCTATATATAATATGACGAAGGCATGTTAGGGTAGCCAGAGGTTTGCCTGTTTTCTCTCTGGTGGATATTAACAGTTGAGGGAAGGGTGAAAGTCTCTAGCACAAAGGTCTCGAGTGGCGTCAGAGAATGCACCCACTACATGAGTTATCCAAATGTCAAACTGATTTATCGTTGAATATAATCTTCGGAGAATGAGTAGTCTTCTCCGCGTCATGCTCTTTGAGCGCAATGCTTGCGCTCATAACGAAAAAAATTTCATCATTTCGTACAGTCACAATGGATTACGGTGTGGACTTGCGGGGAATCGAACCCCGGACCACTCCCATTGTTCAATGCTAAGGGAGTATTATACCACTAAACCACAAGCCCTCTCATTATTTGGCAAGAGTATCAAAAACTATAAAATTGACCATCACGTATTTCGCACTGCACAATCATTCGGCTTCGTTCAACTACGTTAAGATGCTGAAGAGCTGTGAATCTCGTTAGCTCTCTGATCGGTGTGTGGCAAATCGCAAATCTTCCCTCACACTCGGCTACCACTCGGCCGAGCCCTTCAAAGCCTCACAACCTCTAATTTTTCTTTACCTTTCCGTTCAGTCTAAGTCAAGCTTCATCCCAGCACCTCCTCGTCCGACCTTCTATTCGATTTCTACATTGGGCGCTTCATCCAGTCTCCCGTCGAGGCCTCCTCTGTTTTTTTTCGTCTAGTTTCTTTGTAGCTTTCCCTAACCCTTCTGTCGACATCGACATCTTTATCTCGGAAAATTTGTAGATTTTCCATCTCCCTGGCATTGCCTTGACGCTATCGCACCCCTAATCCCGGAGGCCGAATATAGGTCAAAGAACTCAAGACCGAGACACCGATCCCTCGAGCTTTGACGAGTGCCTTGGAGGAAGTGCCGGCGATATTTCGTACGGATTTCGTGGGTGGAAATTCATCGCGGATTGACTTGTTGATGTGTCGAATAAGTTATTTGTTATGCGCACAAAGATTAGAATAGATTGGGAGATGAGGTAACAGCCAAGATCGCTAAACATAGGCTGATTGATGAGAAGCATACGAAAGCCCACTCTTTTTATATTTTTTAAATCATTTAATGTGTATTCAGCTATAAAGCTATGACACATGACCGGTGCTATGTATACATATTGGAAGATTCTTTTGACATTGGAGACACTCATACTCTGGATTTTATTTGCAAATACCAATATGAGGTATGCTTGCTTACAAAAAAAGCTTACTCGTATGTATTGTTGCGAGTAGGGGCTACGTTTAGGTATTCTCAGCCTCGCAACCTTGCAAAGCTATTTTAGGCAAATTACATTTTTAACTCGACATCATTCAATGAGAATGGCCTAAAATTAGTGGGATGGTCAAATCTTTTACTTTCCTTAGGAGGCTAGAAAGGCAGAGAGTGAATTTCCCGAGGCACCCACAAGTCTGCAGCGCCCAGCTGGCCGGCCTCTTCGAACGCATCAGAAGGATCACTATGTCTTCGGATTTATTCCTAATGTCGGTCTTAGAAGAGCCCCGCACCCAGTGATTTTTGCAATTTTTCCCGGCTGCCATACACCCGCAAATGGCCATCGTTTCGTTGGTTGGAGAGGGGAGATAATGAAGGGTAAAGGGCTCCTCTAAGTGTATGATCGAATAAGGACTTATGAGGGGTGGTACTGTTTGAGCGGAGCCGTATAGGAGGCACAGGAGGGGATATACTTCTAGATAGGTATGCCTGGCCTGTAGGCAGAGAGGACCTGCATGTCCTACATAGTCATAGACTCAGACAGGACAATAAAATGAATTAATAATAATACTTTCCTTAGGTTCATAGTTATTTGTATATATAGACCTATATTTCCGGGAAAATAGAATCATGTTGGTTTTACTGAGTTATCTTTTTCTTCAATCTCAAATACACTTCGCCTGCCACGGGTCAGACACCTAGATACCTGACATGATGCCCTTGGCCGAGGTATAGACAAAATGTAAGGCCGGTAAGTCGATTGTACTTTCACAGCGCACGACACTGGCGACGGGAGGATATGCACGTTCATCTTTGATTTACAGTATGACTTTTTGGTCTTAGAGAGTTTCAGTGACTGTTGCAGGCTAATGCCTTAGTAGTTGGATCCACAGATTAACCGGCTCCTTTTCATTACAACATGCGGCGCTAGTAACAGGTTGGTGGTAGTTAGATAGTCATAATAGTGTAAATATTTTCTCTCTTTAGATTAATATTAACTCATTTTTGGGCATTTTCGAGCGAACAGCAACAATGCCTGTCCTTTCACAGTGAATATGAGATAATTGTAGAGTCCGCAAGATGAATGTAACTATTGAAGATCTTCCAGGAAAATTGAAGATAAAGAAGAATGTCGGTTGTGTGTGTGTGTTTATTGTGCTACTTGAGTCTATGACTATCTAGCACATTGGGCTCCTCTCTGGGCCAGGCCACACCTTGTACAGTGCTCCTTGCCTCTTATATTTCTTGAAAGATCATTGATATATTCCCCTTGATGAATAGCCATTCAGCTCAGTGTTTACCCGTGGAATTCAGCCACCTTTTCCACGGAACCTTCTACCCAAAAAAATTAGAAAAGGTAGCAATAGAAACTGCGTGCGCGGGAAAAGGTCTCAAAAAACGTGCAGCCCCAGCCAGGCGAGGCCTAGACACCGGTACCACATGAGACGCGCATACTCATCTACATCTCCCTTCTTTGTAACAGTCGAGGTCGACTTGATCCAATCCACCATCTCCGTATCGGGTGCTGGGTACGCTCCGGAAACTCATCGGATGGCATCTCCTCCATGATGGTGGTGATAGGGGAATGTGTTGAGGGGTGAAGACGATACAGACCGCGAAAGCGATTGGGAATTCCCGTCGAAGTGAGGACTTTGTTACTCTATTTCGGCTCTGCAAACTCTACAGTGAGAGCTGGAGGTTCGTAGGGGACACCACTGACAGGTGTTGATAAAAGTCCCCCTACAAAGGACAGGAGCTGACGTGGGTAGGTCGGCTTTCTATGGAAAATTTATCAATTCCATTTGAGTTAACGACTTACAAGTAATTCTGAATCCTTTAAACCTTAACAATGGGCAATATACCATTGATCATCCAAGTAATAAAAGAGGACAGAAATATAATACAAGGTGTAGCCTGAGTTAGAGGAGTCCAATATGCTAGATAGTCATTGACTCAAGTAGCACAATAAGATATAACCACACATGAACAGGGTTAAAATTGATTTCATTTATCCCATTCAGGTACCATACGGGCCTATTCAGCTACATATAGCTTTGGTATTTACGGGGGACGAATGAAATTCGGTGAAAACCCCCTGATTCTATCTGTATTTTGTCTATCGGATTTCTTAGTTTTACTTCAGGAAGTGTGTTTACACTATTCATCCAGTGTGAATTACTTCCTATATTTTTTCGGATCTCTTCATCCTTTCATTGAATGATATCTCAACTTAATCATCAAACCGGAACTGTTCAAACTAGCCTTTACTAAGTATCCACTCTGTAATTCTCTTCGCATCATCTGGGCCATTTATCATGGCTTTAAAAGGCCTATCTTTTGTCTATCACAGCACCTCTTTTCTTTTTATATCTCACTGAGGATAAGCAAAGATTATATTTTCACCGTTTTGTGACGGATGTCCACACACGCATTTCGAATTTACCACTTCGGATACCATTTTTTATAGAAGATAAGAGTTGAGGCCGATATGCTAACTGCTTATCTATATTACGGTACTATTTTGTGCCCTGCTAAGATTTCGGTGGATGCCAGAGGGTATTTTTCTGTAGGTGATCCTTTTTTATCCCTGTTTTTTTGTCGATGATGATGTTTGCTGCTTTCCAAAGTACTGCGTCTACCGTCGCTCAATGAGAAAGGTGTCAATCTTTCTTGAAACATTTTCATGTTTTTTTCCACTCCTGAAACGCTGTTATCTTACAAGCTTCTTTTAATCTAATCTTCACCTTCTCTTTATTATAGATTTTGGTCAATTCAGCAATATCTCGGCTTCTATTGTTGGCACGTTAATGGGTTATAGTGGTAATACAGCAGATGGTCAATTAGTTCGATAAAGGACTTGCTTTTTTGGCGGGCGGTCACAGTTACCTAGGGGTGCTTGAGCACCATGACGTCCGTTATGTCCGAATCAAAACTACCCCTGGGCTTGAATTCAATTATCAACACGGACCATAAGTATATTTAATTAAAGCTAAGTCGTGAACGATGCCAAATGTTTGTCCTCGAATTTCCGAGCAGGTTACAATCTTGTCGTAGTATCCCCCTTCTATTATTCTTACAAGGTCTAAATCGGCGGTAGGTGTAGCCCAAAAAGGCATAATTCTTTCTCACTTCTAGAACCTTGGGCCCAATTACTTTATCCCGAAGTAGCTTATCTCTTGGTCTTTTTTTCTCTCTACGGCCAAAAAGTTTGACGACTGCCTTCAAATAATGTTTTTGCTCGGTAGGTAAAAAGAATTGATCAATCTCTCTTTCAATATCCTTCAGTCTAGCGGAATCATATGGAAAGCTGATGTATCCAGTGACTAGCATCTGGATATCATGGTTGAATGGCTTTAAAGCATTCGAAATCTCTTCTTGTGTGTATAAAACTTGCCCAGTAGATTCCGAAAAATCAGATATGGAATCTTCTTCGTCAAAGTAACGAGTATCATCAGTTGAACTAATTTCCGGAATTGTTGGTGGTACCATCATGTGTAAGTAGTCCCATTGGATATCTCGAAACCATTTATGCTCCTTTATCTCCTCAGCATCATTAGGGTACACATATCTACCCGTATAATCTACATCTTGCTTCAAATTTAATCCATGTTCCTTACTGCGATATTTCTTGGAGCTAAGCCTATTCCCTTTCTCCTGAATCATACACGATAAAAGATCTTGACATTTTCTGCTGACTAATGGTCTTGAAGGAATCCTGAACATAGTCTTATGGTTCTAAAATTAATATAATTAGTTATTAGCACTTTCATTGAAATGAATACTGACCAATATGTTCAGCTTTGTTTGTTGTCTCCCACCTTCTTCGGCCAGGAATGGCGTATGCCCATAAAGGCACTTTTAAAAGGTCAGTATTCGATCCTAAATTATTGATTAGACACTTCCCTCGAATAGTATAATAGCTAGGCTCCACCAATCACATCGAGCATCATATTCATCCCCTCTAACAACTTCTGGAGCCATGTACTGGCTTGTGCCAACAATAGAGCGAGCATGACCTCTATTACTGTATTTATTTCGCCAATCTAGAACACCATCACACTCAAAATCGTCAAAGTTAATTTCATGACGTTGCTTTTCCTCCATCATAGAAGGCCCAATCTTCATTGTTGCCGTACAATTTTCACTCTCCTTTTGATCGATTGAGTCACCCTCGAACTTTAATCCCAATTTCGCGAGCAAAGAATAACGGTGATTGTTAAAGTATGACTGATCATGAGACCAATGACCATCAAAGGCTAGACCAAAATCTGATATTTTCAAATGTCCGGAAGCGGATATTAAAAAGTTATCTGGTTTAATATCCCGGTGAATCCAATGAAGAGCATGGGCTTCTTCTATGCAGAGAATCATTTCTGCAATATACCACTTTGTGACTGGTTCAGTGAGCACGTTTTCTCGGATCAACAAACCGAGAAAGTCGCCCCCTGGCATATAATTCATGACAAGATAAAGGTTGTTGACATCCTGAAAACTTGAAATAAGTGGTACGACCCTTGCAGCAAAATTAGATATATTATGCAATAGTATTAAAATTTATCATACCAGCGAGAACCTTCTGCAGCGACTAGAAAATCTCGTTCGGCTCGTAAGTGACCTTCTTGACAATTATGCAGCATATTAATTTTCTTAATCACTTTCATGGCAAACACTTCTCGCTTTCGAATTTTTTGCATTGGACCCAATCGGCTTCATAATTGTGAGAAGATCTTGACTCAACGTGATAGCTACAAAGGAAGAAACTTACTTAATTTCCGATCCTTCAACCTTTTCTCTTACTAGACGAACAACGCCAAAGCTCCCTTTTCCCAGGACCTTGACCATCTCATATTTCTCACAAGCAGGATTCTTAATTCGATCACTCTTATTTCGTGACTTCAGATTTCTCAAGTGGCGAAGATGTTCATTCTCATCTTTTAGCAGAGAGCTTCGGATCTCATCTTTGTCCTTGACAGTGAGATCTGAGCTCTGCCTGAGAAGCATTTCAAGCTGTCTCCTTCGCAGTGTTCGAGCTGTTGTTTGAACAGATGTTAACGTATTGTAGTGACACTCGAAGAAAACCTTAGCCGATGAAGCTTTTTCCACAGTAACAAAAGCTGAAAAAATGTTAATGGGCTTGCAATGATATGTAGCGCACACTCACTAGGTATGGATCTTGGCAACTGTCTTTCGATATTTAGTCCCTCAACTAGAGATGGAAGGAAATACTCATTAGATCCAACTTCGCCAATTATAGGCTTTGCAACGAAACCACAATTTTCCGTAGATCTTGGTGACAATGTCCTTAATTTTATCGAGAATCTTGAATTCCTGAAGCCTTGAGGGACCTTCACTAACCTTGAATTGTTATATCCTAATTCAACGTCTGCTAATAAAGATATTTCGGGTGTCGTGTCGGCATTACCTCTTTCAATGGATATGATACTTGGGCGACTTCTAAATCGAGTACGGTGAACGACGGTGGGCTCTAACTGATTATTGAGTGTCGCGGAAAATAGACGACCTGTTCCTGATGGGCTGGGTGAAGGAGATAATAGAGTCGGCTCAGTAAGGGAGATACTCGGGACTAATGTTATATCTTAGCAGAGACAAATTGAATCTCATCAATGGGTTGTAATACCACTATTAAATACACTGAGTAATGACATGACCCTAGATTTTTGCTTGCGAGGCTTAGAGGGTCGAGAGTCGGATGGAGAGTAACTTCCTAATTCCTCTTGAATAAATTGCTCAGAAAGCGAATTTTCCTCGTTATTAGAGGATCGTGGAAGGGATCTGGATTTCATACAAAGACGTTTCATAACTTCTATTTCTGGAGAACGGAACAGAAAGGATATTGGAATATAATGAATTTAGTTGGTTAAAGTTGTATAAGGCCACGATTTATGGTGTTATTAATATTAAAAAGTTTGGATGACGATTTGTAGAATCTTGATTTTATTATCTATCCACAAAATGGTAGGAGCGACTATGTATGTTTATTTTGTTCAAAAAAAAGATTATTTGAGTAGTTTCTCAGTCACTAGTGATTTGAAGAATAAAATTAGGCGTCAGAATTTAATTGAAAATTTTTGAGCGGGTGCCATAAACATTCGTGCCCAAAGCTTGGGTAGTCTGTTTCAAGTAGATTTTTGAAATAAATAGGGTCTATGTTTATTATGAGCATCTTGCGTCTAAATAATGCTACATCAACTGAGAATAAACAGATTCGCAACAAGTGATGTAGATGCAGGACTAGTAATTGTAGATGTGGTAGTACAGAACAATAAAAACAGATATTGGTGTTTCCCTGATTCTAGTGATCAAATGACAATAATGGAAACTTAAGATTGTGTTCTAAGCAACTTAGCTTCACTTAGCTTCAAGTAGCTTTATGTCGAAAATCAGTGTGCTATTCGCGGGAATACCAGGAAGTGGCTTGCCACCATACGCCTTATTAGGTGGGATAGTCAGTCGCCGTTCACCTCCTGGAGACATGCCCATCACACCAATGTCCCAACCTCGAATTACTTCCCCTGTTCCGAGCTTGAAGCTAAAAGGAGTACCCTTTTTGTTGGCTGTAATAGTGTTAATTTTATGGAAATTAGGGAGATTGATAACTTACAATCAAAAACGCTACCGTCCGAGAGTTTACCTATGTAGCGCATAGACACTTTATCGCCTTTTTTGCATGCACGGCCTGTTCCTAACTTTTTGTCGTCTATTTTTACGCCATCGACTGTTTTTATTCCTAGTGATGCCTTCTTCTGAGGCTTCGATGCATCGGCTTGGCTTTTTTCATTTGTTTTCTTGGAACCTAATTCGAGGTTCTTGGCGAACTGGACTTTCTTGTCACCCTTGTCATTCTTGTTCGTATCCTCTTTCTTTGGATCAACTGTCTTGGGTTCGACGGCCTCGCCCTTGTTGTTTTTGAGTTTTTTTTGTTGTTTTTTGCTTAATTTTGTTTCGGTGTTTGTTGTATCTTTTGAAGACTTGGCCATGAGAGTTTCTAGAGTGTTTTCTTCACTAGCATCATCGATAGGGCGCTTATTCTTGCCCTTTTTCGCAGTAGCTTTGGTGAGTTTTGGGATTTCTTCCTCATCTTGGGAATCAATCTCCATTATTCTAGGATTTTCGATGTTATCAAGTTCATCGGTTTCCTCTCCAGAATCAGAGTCAAGTTCGTCGTCATCAGGTGATAGGTCGTAGTCATCTTCATCAGAATAGTCGTTGGATTCTTGTTCCATATCGTCTGGAATCACATAATTCCCCGTTAGGAATATGTTATGCTTCCCAATTACTCGGAAATAGACATTTTCGTTCTCAGAGATAGTTATGTCAAGGGGTTGTTGGTAGTTCTACATAACTTAGTGAAATTTTTGCTGTTAGGAAGAACAGAATTACCTTTAAGGGATCGAGAGTGCAAAGAACGAACTCTTCTATCTCGTCATCATCTTCTTCGCTACTAGCATTGTCATCTTCTTCCTCCTCATCATGTTTTACTTTGGATTTTCCCTTATCAGTTTTGGTTCTACTTGATGCATCTTCCATTTCGTCATCGGACTTCTCAGCGCCGACGGATTCTATCAGCTGTTGAAGGGCTTCGGCTTTTCGTGCTTTTTTAGATTTTTGAGGATCACTCGGCCCACCGTTGGTCTCGTCGTCGTCATCCTCGTCTTCGGATGAGCCACTCTCTGCTAGAAGAGCACGCATGTAATCTCCAGACTCATCGTCTGGGTCACGTTTCTCGCGAACAATTTTCAAAGTTGAGCGAGAAGGGGTTTTACTTTTGCTTTCATCAGACTCGCTAGGATCAATTGCAGCCATTGTGATACGGAACTGAAAATTTTTAGTCAATAACTCTATTATTCACTGAAAATGTCACCGTTGACGACTTCCATTATTATGACTTACGGTGGCAGGGAAACTTGGCACTTCAGGTACAAGAGTTCCATCACAGGGAACTTCCAACCCATAAAGGGCGACTATCTCTATTAGAGAGGACTCGATGTGTAAACGACCATTGGCTTACCAGGAAGAAGGGGCATGTTTGTCAAGCTCGTGTTTTTAAATTGTTTAAAATGGTAAGTTCGCTGATTTATCGAATCTTTCAGACAATTAAAGCAGTGATTTGTGGTTAAGGTGTGATTGTGAAGTACTGGATATTGGTTCGCAAAAAAAAGTAAATTGTAGCAAAGAATTTTTCATCGAAGGCCAAGGCTCGGGCTAACCAAATTTGGATCAGTGCGCTTGATAAGAGCCTGAAGTGTTCGTGATCACTTATCAGCGCCTGCACAGGTGCTAAAGAGTTCCCAAATATGGAAAGCACCTAAAATGGGAAGTAAGTTAGTTAAAAATTCGAACCTTGCACGTAAGCGGGCTGAAGAACACGAATTCAATGACGAATATGGCGATGAATACCAGGAATCAAAATTCGGAGGCTTTCCCGAATACTTCCGTCGCAAGAGAGTGAAACTACAGAATCTAGACGCCCGAATCCGTTCAGAGTCAACAAATCAACCTCAAATATTTAAAGGAATTGTTACTTACGTTAACGGATATACCCAGCCATCACTTCAAGATATTCATCACCTTGTTGTGTCTCATGGAGGTTGTTTCATGCAATACCTTGATGGAAAAACATCTGTCACGCATATCATTGCATCTAATCTTACTCTTAAGAAAGCCAAAGAGTTCCGCCAATATCGAATCGTCAAACCGGCATGGATTGTTGAAAGTGTTGCTGCTGGCAGGCTACTTCCGTGGGACAGATACAAGGTCCTCCACGAAAGACCGACCCAGCAACTTCTACAGTTCAGCAATGGTGGAATAGGTATTCATACAAATGTTCCGCAAGGGGGATACCATGATCAAACCGACACATGTTGGTATTCAAAGAACCTTACGACTATCATAAATTCAATTGAAGATAAACATATTTGTGATAAGAGCTCCTCGGACCCGCGGAAAAATTATCAGCTTATTTCAGATCCAAGCCCTCTTGAAACAACAGAGATAAAATTCCAGAAAACTACACCCAGTACCCCTCAGTTATTCAAAGGCGATCTCTTATCTGAGAGTTTAGCTATAACATCCACATTGGCAAATGAATTAAACAAGGTTGATTGCAATACTGGAAAGATAAAAAATCTCCTGGACACACCTCAAAGTACCTCAGCAACAATTTCCCAGTCACCCTTGTACAAGAAGGGTCGAGATCATAGCAACCTAGGGTTAAAAGCTGATTTGAGTAGCCCGATCGTTGAACACAAAATTATTCACCCAAGGAATGAGGAATTACCGGAAGTAAGAAGTATCAAAAGCAACGATCATGAATATTACAATACTTTAGCAGTAACTGACAACAAGCCTCGGAACATAAGCGCTGCTGATCCAAAGTTTATTGCGCAATTCTATGCAGAGTCACGCTTGCATCATTTGTCACACTGGAAGAGCCAGCTTAAGTCACGGTTTCAAAAACTGGCTTGCGAGACTGCCGCTGACCAAGTAACTTCCCTTAAGCGGAACGTAGGATCTAGGCGGTACATTATACATGTAGACATGGACAGTTTCTTCTGTTCAGTATCAGCAAGAAGGGTAACTGGATGTATGCAAATCCCCGCTGCCGTCGCGCATGGCTCTGGGCCAGGCTCTGAGATTGCGAGCTGTAACTACCCTGCACGAAGTTTTGGTATTAAAAATGGTATGTGGATGAAAAATGCACTTCTAATCTGCCCTCATCTACAGGTGCTTCCTTATGATTTTCCAGCGTACGAAGAAGCTAGCAACCAGTTTTACGGGGTAGTTCTAGGTATTGGTGGTACAGTCCAGAGTGTCAGCGTTGATGAGGCCCTTGTCGATATAACAAATATCTGCCAAGCTGATAGTTGTGCTGATGCCAGTCAAGTAGACATTTTACGTGAGCAAGAAAAAGCAGAAGAAATCGCAAGAGTTTTGCGAGAGCGAATTAAAAAGGAATCTGGCTGTGATGCGTCAGTTGGAATTGGACCAAATATTCTACTAGCGAAACTAGCGCTTCGCAGGGCAAAACCAGCCGGACAATATCATATCAAACCATCAGAAGTGCGGGAGTTTATTGGTAAGCTGTGTATTCAGGATCTCCCTGGTGTAGCCCAAAATATTGGAGGAAGACTTGAAAAGATTGGCGTTAAACAGGTCAAGGATATACACGAATTAACTCAAGCAACTCTTCTTAAGATTCTTGGCCCTAAGACTGGCCGGAGAATTTGGGAATATTCGCTTGGAATTGACCATAGTGTAGTGGGCCATCAGAGTGTGAGAAAGTCAGTGTCTGCTGAAATAAACTGGGGGATTAGATTCCTCTCCCAAAAAGAAGCGGATGAATTTGTTCGCAATTTATGCTGTGAGCTTGAGCACCGCCTTGTAAAGCAAGGGTTACGGGGTAAACAAATGACGTTAAAGATCATGAGAAAATCTGATCATGCCCCCTCTGAGCCGCAAAAACATTTAGGCCATGGAATTTGTGATAGTTTCAGCAAAAGTGTTGTACTAGATGTAGCAACCAACCATGCTGAGACCATGGGACAAGAAGCAGTATCGATATTGCGGAGTTACCGTTTCTTGCCGACTGAGTTACGCGGTATAGGGGTGCAAATGACTAGACTTGAGTCATCGGAGCCCACGGATGTGCCTACTAAAAATCGAGTTCAGAAAAAGATTAGCTTTAACCCAGCAGTAGCTTGTGATACATTTTCGCATGTCTGTAGTGAAGAAAAAAACGAAGATCCTTGCACGCTGCGAGGGAAGCGGGCTTTTTCCGATACCAAAGAGTCAACTCCTTCTCCCAGTTCACAGAAAGGACATGGGAACCAGCAGTGCTCCCATAAAGTAGTCATCTACCCAGCTCGCGTTCCAATAGATGACTTACGAGTGTATGATGAAATTCCTACAAAGAATAAAGCAATCACCAAACAGTCGCCCGTCACAACCGGAACCCAATTCGTTATACCCTCTCAAATTGATGCCGGGGTGCTAGCAGAGCTTCCAGGCGATATTCGTACTCGTTTGATGGCACAGAGCAGGACCCGCTCGATCATACACCGGAGACCTAATGTTCTAACTTCAAGCAAGTCACGAAGTACAGGTTCGCACGGGTTAGAACCATTGCCGTCCCAATTTGACCCCGAAGTTTTTGAAGCTCTCCCCCCTGACCTTAAGACTGAAGTTCTCGAGAATTACAAATCTAGTGTCGCCCAGGCATCTAACTCTAGTCATGAATTAGGGCTAGCCAATGAGCCACAGGCCCAACCTAAGACAACACATCGCACGTCGCCCAGCACAAAACGTCAGCGCGAGCGGCTTTCTTCTTCTAAGCCTCAGCCCGCCGCTTATCCAGCGACACCTGATCCGTCTTTTCTTGCCGCCTTGCCCGCCAGTGTCCGGGCAGATGTCCTTGAAGATCATTGGAAGCAACGGCGTGGCGCACAAAAGCCAAAACTATTCGCAGATCGGCTTGAACCTCCGAAGCGCTGCAATGAACCTTTTCCACCAATAGTGCGGCACATTATTCTGCCGACGCGCACGCCACGTCCAACGTTCACGACCCAGGGTCTAAGCAGCTTAACTGACTTACGGATAAAGCTAGGTGAATGGCATAGGGAATTTGCTATTGACGGGCCTCATCCAGATGATGCGGCTGCGATGGTTAGATACTTGAGAAGAGTAGTTTTGGAGGAGAGAGATCTAGCCAAGGTAGTAAGCCTCCTAAGGTGGCTAGAATGGCTCATAGGTGAAAACACAGAGAGTGCTCGTGGAATCGAGGCATGGCTAGTGGCGCTTAAAGGCATCAAAGAAAACGTTCAAATGGCTGTCCGAGATCGTGGGTTAGGACATCTTGACATCTAAAGGTTCAATGAACTAATTCACCGTTATTTTAATCCTAACCACATTCAAGGGCTCATGTGTAGGGATCTCTCTTGATTTTTAATTTACTTGTATTATAGAATCAAAAACTCAACAGAGCTTTATAATTTTAGTCCTAGTGTTATTGTCCCAGCTTCAACGATACAAATGTTGCGCATTTATTAGCTGCGTAAATATGTACCATAGATGGTAGTTATATTAAACATTAATTCTATTACGTAAAGTCTTTTTCCCACCATAATTATTTCAAGACCGGCACCTCCGGCCCGCGTGAGAGGGTGCCAAAGTTCCATTAGTAATAGTGATATACTGTAATAACATGATAAGAGCATGTCTTAGAGTTTATGAGGTGTGCGCAAAAAGGCACGAGGATGAATAACGGCCACTGGATTGGAATTCTTATGCTAGGCACAGTAGAAACCCCATAGCAACACCGAGTGCAAGTATACTTTCGACACGAGCTTCTCTATCTGGAGATTGTAGATTGATGTCTGGAGGCAGCTTGAGTTTATCAGTCGATAGCTCAGGAGTGCGACGCTGAGTGGGCTTCGAATGGTTATTTTGCTTTTCAACGAACGATGGTTTCGATTTTGTGTGCCGGGAGTTCAGAGGAGAACTATTGAATAAAGATCATGATTAGCCTTTAGAATCTCGCGGTACAAAGCAAGCAAGCCAAATTCCTTAATACACTTACGCACGCCTGGGGCAAATCAACGAACCTCGAGACTTCCACATCGACACATGTACGATCGTTTCTGGCTTAACGACCATGGCGCAATTTGCAGCAACCATCCCGCGTCGTACTGTGCAGCTTTCACATTTAATCTCTGTGAAGCCGGCGAGGGGTGTGCTTATGCTCGAGACTTCGTGGAGAGCTGGAGAGAAACTATCTGTATAGATATTCGTATTTGTGACGCTTTGAAAACTAGGGTTTGATCTGACGCTGGGAACAAAAATAAGAGCTATGGAGAGCAGATAGTTGACACTACTGAGGATGGAAATGACTGACGGCATGTGGGATAGCCGTATCTTTGCAAAGATGGTTGTGTCAATGACTTTTGGAAGGTTGGGACTGATTTGGAAACAAATGACTGGGTGAGAAGAAAGGAGAGAATGATCACTTCGTTAGCTTGAAGCAGTAGCGAAAAACGGTATGCTGAGCAAACTCAAATATTAAGCACAGATGTGCCGATCACTCCTTAGTTATGTGTGTGATGATCAACACGTGGTTACAGCTAGGAAGTGTTAGAAATCGCGTGGATTGCCGTATGATTGACAGGTTAGAACAATAATTACGCGATTCTAGCTCAATACTTGGGAAGGAAGGAAGGGTATTGCTAGGTGATGATGTAGAAAGGGGATGGTGACAGAGAGTATTCTACTCAATGCCTTGAATAGAGAGAGGGGATACTGATGTTCGATGCAGGGGGGCTGTCCTCATCCTCCTCTGATAGCACAAAGACTAGCATAGAAGTGCACTAGCGCCTTAACACAAGGGATCATGACGGCACGTGCGGCGGTACTACTTCCGAGACAGCCAACTGTTGAAGGTCGTCGCTGAAGGCTAAGGGTAATGCAATCACATCCAGGTTCCAGGATAAATATTGTGTGAGTTGCATGATTGCCTGAGGCAAAATGATGAGCGTGCCCTAAACCAACAGGTCTGCGGGCCCACGTGGAGTCAAAGACATTTCTAATTAGATCCGATCAGTCACTGAATCGGCGTCATTGGCAAAGATGGCGACTTTGTTCACTGTCAAAATATGGTAACACAGAGTCATGAAGTTTGCATAAGCAATGATTTGAATTTGATTTCAGTTTCCTGATTTTGCGCCCTATGGACCCATGCAGGTGTCGATAATCTGCAATGTTTACTCGGAAGGAAACCTTTATGCCGTAAACCCCCCACACCTTTCTACTTGTTGTCTTTAGCTTTCACATATTGTCTTTAGGAAGCGCAATTACACTACAGTGCCATCCATGTGAACCAACCAGATCATCTCTAACCACCCCACTTCGTATGATCGATCTTTGGCTTGTCTCCATATCAGCTCTACTATTTGACCATCGGGGGCAGGACATAATCATGTGCTTGGGGTTCTGTGATTGGTAGGCGCATGGACAACCTGGACTTAATACTCCGGGTACGTTTCTTCTGTGTAAATACGAGTTAAGCCCCATGTGCTCACTTCGTATTTGCATTGCCAAACTGCTCTGGGCCCTTGTCAGATTACGATATAGAAAGAATGGTGAGCCTTGAAAACTCGGTTTTTGCCGTCCAGACTCTCTACTATGGTAAAATTTGGCTACTCTCCAAGTTTCGGGATCTGCAGTTGCTAACTGCCGAGGCTTCCGATTTTGTTTCTGCTTCGCCCAGGATTTCGCCGACCCTTGGCATGCCATAACTTTCACTATCTCTGTACAGTCAAACCCCTGTTAAGAAGATGTAATCGGGGCCATGAAAAATATCGTCAGGCAGAGAATATCGTTACTCCACAGAAATTCACTTTTGGGGCGGAATTTTTAGAACCAATCTAGCAAAAAAACCCTGGTTAAGACGATATTCAGAGGTTGAAGAACGATAATCGTGTAATCGGTAAATGTATGGGAACAAAGTCCGTTCTGGAAAAATTATCTTCTTAACGGCAATATCGTCTTAACAGGGGTCTGACTATATGTATCTTCTTGCCCACTGTTCACAGATCGGATATTTATCCTCCAACTTTCGGCAGTTTTCATCGGTCGAGTTTGACCGCATAAACAATGATTGTAAACATTCCAGAATAGTTTTTGTTTGCATGAGCCCCCATTAGGACACCCTAAATTTTGTGCCGGCCACTTAGCCGGCGACTCCTGCCTGGTGTGGCCGCTCATTCATCCGGTGTGACAGATAACATGAGGGAGGCTTCTTGTGCACGTTAGTATGGATAAAATGATAAATTTTGACTGTGAAATTTACGGGTGTCTCGTGGCACCGACTACGACAATCTATATGTGTAGAGCTTGAGACTAGGTTTAAACTTATATTTTTATTAACATTAAAGCTCCTCCTTAAATAGATAAAACTCCCCACACTCCAGCTAAAGTAAAGATCAATAATATATGGCCACCTACATGGGCCCATAGGGCGCCAAATCAGGATAATGAATACAAATCGGATAATACACGGCAAAGTGAACTATCAGAATACAGTAGGGAATGAGTGAGGCGCTTAGCTGCTTTGATTTTGGCCAAGGAATGCAAGGGATCCAACCTCGTCGTGGTCTTGAAACTCGGCGGCTCGCTTAGAATCGGAGTTCAGGATCCTCATGATTGCTATCCTTAATGAAAATTACATCGATAACAATTTTCACTACACAAGAAAATAGAAGCGCTGCATCAGTGGTGTTTTCTACGAACCTGGGACTGAAATATTACCCCAGACCCGAGATTCAGTCACGAAAAAGGGTGGGATGAATTTTTATTTGATGGATTTTCGGCTTGAAGGAGTTGTACTCGGTATTTTGGTCGAGAGATCAGTCGGCAGAGATTTTACAACCACAAGAAAGTCGAACCAAAACTCATCACCACCAACATACGATTCACGAATGAGCCTAGTTCTATCTGGGGGTCGTATTCAAACAAATTACATCTCTCTAACTCCTCAAATATTTGCGACCAAGCATTTCTCGGTCGACCCTACACCTGCGACCCACCTTCATACTTGTCACATCACCTATCTACACACGCTCTAATGAGGAAAGTCATGATGAAAATGGGACGTGTATAAAGGTGGAAAAAAAAGGAATTTACACTAAGGGGATTACACAAATCCCCAATGACTACAACAACCCAACGGTACGATATGAAGGCGCAAGGCTGGAGGAACGATGAGTTCTGGGACTACAATTATATTTCGGAGTCAATGAGAGCGTCAAGGGTTCGGGCGCGTAGTGGCCGAGACTGAGGAGGAATTTGCGCTACAGCGTATATACAGCGGGTTTCTGGAAAATCAGGCTTAGTATGATTCAAAGCATAAGTGAAGTCTAAGATAATCCGGTCATATTAGTGGGACGAAGCATATTTGTACTTTACGATAGTTAACCTGATCCAGCCCGGCTCCACCCGTGCTTAAGCTCCAGTAGGAGTGCGATAGGTGACATGTACCCAGCACGTAAATAAATAGAACAGAACAGGATCATTGCGGAAGGTGAGACCTTTGGCAGAGGTGCCAATTGTGCTGTGCAGTCGTTGGTCTGAGCAGTACAATAAGAGTTCGATGCAATTGTGATATTTTTTAATGTACTACTTGAGTCATAGACTATCTAGCACATTGGGCTCCTCTCTTACCCAGGCCACACCTTGTACAGTGCTCCTTGCCTCTCATGTTTCTTGAAAGATCACTGATATATTGCCCTTGATGAATAGCCATACAGCTCAGCATTTACCAGTGGAATTTGGCCACCTTTTCCACGGAACCTTCTACAAAAAAAAAAAAATGGTAACAATGGAGACTGCGTGCGCGGGAAAAAGTCTCAAAAAACATGCAGCCCCAGCCAGGCGAAGCCTAGACACCGGGACCACATGAGGTGCGCATATTCATTTACATCTCCTTTCTTTGTAACAGTCGAGGTCGACTTGATTCAGTCCACCATCTCCGTATGGGGTGCTGGGTACGCTCCGGAAACTCATCGGATGGCTTTTACTCCATGATCAAGGGTTAGAGATGAGTAGGGCTCCAACCCTACCATCTGATCTGATCGTGATTAGTTTCTTGATAATGGTCATAGGGGAATGTGTTGAGAGATGAAGACGATACAGACGGCGAAAGCGATTTGGATTCCTCATCGAAGTGAGAACTTTGTTAATCAATCTCGGCTCTGCGGCCTCTACAGTGAGAGCTGGAGGTTCGTAGGGGACACCACTGACAGGTGTTAATAATAGTCCCCAAGTACAATCCAATCTTAACGCGAATGAGAGACTCTTTTCCGAAAGAAAACCGCCAAAACTTTCCGCACTCTGCGTCTAACTAACTCAGTAATTAAGAAAGTTACCGTCATGAAATCAGGGCTGATGATCTAGGCAGAAAGAGAAGAATTAGAAAGCGTAGAGATGAAATTAGGAGTGGCTTCCAACTTAATATCAGGGTTAGGAAGAAACATCCCGAACAGTCAGTGTAACAGAAGAGGATAGATTCTAGCGATATGGCAAATGCTGATTGAAGAAATGACTTTTAAAATGGTTGTTAGATCGGCCTCGATCCGTACTTCTACTACAAGAATTATCAGACCAGCAATCAACTGGGAGGTCATTTTCGCGATCAGAGAGCCGGAATTTAGAGGGAGAATATTGAAGAAAGTAGTCAACTTTATTAACTACAAAGGAATAAAAATATTGGGCAATTGTATCGATGCCTAGTTAACTGTCTCATGAAATCTTGCTCACAAACGGAATAATGCTCACTCTGTGGCTCAATGGAGTAGAAAGGATTTACTTGCAAACAGGCCATCCCGAGGTGTATAAACTTCTACGGGCCTCACTCAGCTGTCGATCCTAAATGCATGATCCGGAAAAGACGGGTTAGCGGCAAAACCCTGCAACACACGCAAGACCAGATATTGGCCATACGCGAGGAAGATCAAAAGGAAAGAAACACGTCAACACGAGAACTCAAAGCTAAGTAGAGAGTATTGAAAGGCTATGCTGAGCTGTAATGACGTACCGTTAGGATGAAGGTATGGAAGGAGGTAGCTATGGCCTTAAGAGAAGTAAGGTTCGTGAGTTATACTCTTAGGACTTGGATCAATGAACGAACTTGAGGATATTCCCTAGTACTCTCAAGTGTGTGAATAATATGGAGATTGTTTCAATTTCCTAATTTATGAATCGCTTAAGATATCTACGTGACAGGACCTTCTTCTATATACATGAATAAGGGGGTTGGAGGGCAAGACTGAACACCTGTACGCGGTGTCCTCTACGAACCTGGGAGTGAAATATTCTCCAGAGCCAAGTTCAGTCAAATTTCGCAATAT